TAGTCAACTTAGGTCCATAGAGGTTCTTAGGAAAACCCTTTGATCATGTCTGATTGCTTCTGAAGTGTACTTTCTCTTCCCTAAACCCCACCTCTTACGTTCTGCATTGAGTAGCAGGCCAAAGAGAGTTAAAAGTATTTTTACAAATTATGAGATCAAAGCTGTTTACCTCTGTGGGGAGGTTTGGTTTGTATAGTCCACTCTATGAACGCTAAAAGCTAGGGTCCAGCAGTCAGTCCATTATGTCTGTAGGGCTGAAAGCCTGACAAAGGTAACAGGGAGGGAGGGGGAGGGGGCAAGTGTAAAGAAAATAAATAGGGCCCCTTTGCAGACTTTTGCTTTAGAAGACAACTTAAACTGCCATCACTGAGAAACAAAATATGATTCCCATTCTATGCAAAGGTGAAGGACTGAAAAGCAGTAATTAAACAGTAATGAATAAAGGCAAACATTTATCCCATGGTCAATGCCAGACTCACCTACCCTCAGTGCAGGCTTGGCAGGACAGAAGTCCATTGGAAAAACTTCATAAATTGTATTCAAAGCACTTACCTTTTGGGGGTCTCAGTTTACCCTATCAAAATGAATGTCTTGCAGACTACTTCCAGCTCGAATGTATTATGGTCTCTCCCTATTTAATTTTTCATTTAAAAGTATCTGGAAGAAATCACTTGCAATGATTAAGGTTAATAAAATCCTAAGAAGTAAGTGTTCTAATAGTGAAAGTCAGCAAGACCAACAACTTATTCACATGACTACAAAGGTCCATACTTTAAGCCCTCTTACCATGAACTGCAAGCGCTCCATGAAAAGCATGCTGAGATGATCCAGAAATTTCTTGATACCAAATTTGGACTTTATAAGCTAAGGTATTTTCAAAACACAGGGGATCTAGGATTCTATCCTTAGTACTTGCCTTATTTTCCCCTCTCTCATGGTCTCTCTGAACCAGATTGCTTAAGAAGCATTTGCCAATTGCTACAAGATAATCCAGTTATCTCAACTGAAATATTCTATGGGTAAGTAACTTAACTGACCTACCCACTAGTGCCCAAATAACTAAGTTTTACTACAGGACTGGACTAGCCCAACTTAAATCTTAAGGCTCCAGTTTAAAACACTGTGCAGGGGCTGGGAGCTGACCCACCTTATTGTCCCAAGCTGGCCAGATCCAGCTAAGAGGAACAAGTGTGCAGGCCTTCTTACCTCCCACTTACACTTAGGTTTCACATTCTTGTCAAGAACTCTCCACATTCTGAATCTTATTAGGCTTAGGGCAGGGATTGCAGCTGAAGACACTTAGAAAACCCTTCATGAGCTCTCCTATTTTAGCAAGTGAGACACAAGGCTGAGAACGTACATATATCTCCTAGAAGCAAGCAATTCACTTCTTTAACACCAGCACAGGATTTCTGTAATCTTGTTAAGCCTCAGAAAGTAGAAAAGGGACCTGAGGCACAGATGGATTAAATGACTTATCCAAGGTCATTCCATATAGCCCAGGAATCAGTCTCCTAGTTCCAAGTCCATTAAATCACATGCCATAATAATAAACACATAAATCTGATTCCAAAACACCTATTCTAAACTAGCTGGACATTTCTGTACAATTCAGGTATTATGGTATTCCCTAGGCTGACGATATTTGATCACTGGGCACAAAACCATAATTCATACTTTAGCCTATAGCGCTGCAACCACTCTGAAAAGCAAAATGCACAAATAAAACAGAAAAGAGCGTTTTTTCTTTGCTGCTGTTTGTTGCTCCCTGGGAAGAGGTTCAGAAAGATAAAAGATTTGCTCTATTGGTCATTTCAAAAACAAAATCATTGAAGGCCCTGGAGGAATGCAGTTGAGTTTTATTGTATGCAACTTTTATGCAGAAGCTCTGTGGAGAGAGGCAGAAAACTCTTCTTAGGGAGTGAGCCCTGGCTCTTATTGCATTTGCATGTGTAACCAAGGTAATGGGAAGTGATGTTCACGAAGAAGGCCCCGAGGTGCCTGGAGAATCAGACTGAACTCTATTCTGTGATTCTTTTTAGACATTAGTATATATGACTTTCTTGCCTCTTTGAAAAGTGCTCTTCCAACCTGCTATGTAGAACCTGCTTAGCCAGGAGATCAACCTGATGGTGCCTCATTATTCAACCGTAGGCTAAGTTATATCTAGCAAAGAATTTCAAGTTCACTTAAGATTCTTTTGAAGCAAAACTATTTTAAATCATTTTTAATTATCAAGTTCTTTTTGTGAATATACTGTTTCCTGTCCTTAGGGTGACCATAAATTATAGTCCACATGAGGACACATTTGAGAGTGAAAGGGGGTGCTATTAACAGTTATGCTGGGACAACAGGTGTGAAACTGGATTGTGCTGGGCAAATTGGAACAATGAGCCTCTCCCTTACCTACAATTGTTCAAGAAAAGTATCTATTTACCACGATTATTTTGAATAAAAGGGTTCAGAAAATGTGTAACTCTTAAAACTGCTTTCCATCTATCTTTCAAATGTGAATCATCTTGAAACAGTGCTGGAAATAGGAAATAAATTGGATGTGCTATATTTTTTTTTCTGGCAGCACATGCAGTCTTTATTTAATCTCAATTATCTGGATGGCCAATCCTGGCCCTACAATTAGTATGCAGGAGGCCTCCCTGAACAAGACATCCTGGAGACAGCAATGTAGCACACTTTATAGCACTCCAAACATCCGAACTGACTGTAGACCTCATTCTTTCCATCCTCCACACCAAAGTCTACTGGGTTGTTTTAATTCATAAAAGCAGTTAGTAAAAATTAGCCATCTTTCAACATGTTTTTTACTCTTGTGACTTGTCGAAAAGACTGTTGATTCATTCGCAGAGGCCCTCAAACTTTTTAAACAGGGGGCCAGTTCACTGTCCCTCAGACATTCCACACATGTGCACTGCGGGCCCAGGACGAGTCGGCTGCTAAGCAGGACAGGCAGCAGCAACAAAAACAACTATAGTTTAAAAAAAAAAACTATGAACAAATTTCTATGCACACTACACATATCTTATTTTGAAGTAAAAAAAAACAAAACGGGAATACAATATTTGTATTTGCATGTGGCCCGCGGGCCACAGTTTGAGGACCCCTGATTTAGAGCTTCACTCTATTAAGATTTTGAACAGCATGGCAATTTTTCTACTTAAGAAATACTGAGGAAATTATTTCAATATAAATTAATATAATGTTAAGTGGTATGTTTTTATACTTTGACATGGCCCTTTTTTTGTTCATATATCCAAGAGTAGATCCTACCCTTAGAGTACCTTAAAAATGCAAAACCAGCCCTAACGGGGTTGGCTCAGTGGATAGAGCGTCGGCCTGCGCGGACTCAAGGGTCCCAGGTTCGATTCCGGTCAAGGGCATGTACCTTGGTTGCGGGCACATACCCAGTAGGGAGTGTGCAGGAGGCAGCTGATCAATGTTTCTCTCTCATCGATGTTTCTAACTCTCTATCCCTCTCCCTTCCTCTCTGTAAAAAATCAATAAAGACCTAACCGGTTTGGCTCAGTGGATAGAGCGTCAGCCTGCGGTAACTTGGTTGCGGGCACATACCCAGCAGGGGATGCGAAAGAGGCAGCTGCAGGTGATCGATGTTTCTCTCTCATTGATGTTTCTAACTCTCTATCCTTCTCCCTTCCTCTCTGTAAAAAATCAATAAAATATATTTTTTAAAAACCAATAAAATACATTTTAAAAAAAGCAAAACCAGGAAATTAATTTTATCCTACTTACAATTAAATAACTTTATATAAAACCACATCCTTTAATTCTTCCCCCAAGCACATCACATAATTAATTTAATCCTTATTAGTGCTATATCTTTACTTTCAATCAATCCTGTTATTGCATCCCTTTATACAATCAAGAGCTTTTTAAAAAATAGTATGTTAGTTAAGTTTGCCTCCTCTGAAAAAGGTTATGACTCTTTTATACCCTGTGGGGGCTTTTGACCCTAGTTCCTATTTTTCTTATATTTCTGTTAAGTTATAGTTCTCATAGAAGCATTGTCACTTTCATGAAATAACCAGTCTTGTCTTAAATGATATTAAATTTGTAACTATTAGATAGTGTGAGCTAAACAAAGAAAACGAATATAGTATTACAACACAGTTGATAAAGAATGGCATGAAAACCTAGACAAGAATGTCAAAATTACCCTAACCGGTTTGGCTCAGTGGACAGAGCATCGGCCTGCGGTCTCAAGGGTCCAAGGTTCAATTCCAGTCAAGGGCATGTACTTGGGTTGTGGGCACATACCCAGTGGGGAGTGTGCAGGAGGCAGCTGATCGATGTTTCTCTCTCATTGATGTTTCTAACTCTCTGTCCCTCTCCCTTCCTCTCTGTAAAAAATCAATAAAAGAAAAAGAAAAGAATGTCAAAATATTTTTAAATGATTTGTTTGCATGGTGAACTATAATGCAATTACTCAACCATGGTACTATTCTCTTCAAAATCAACTTAAATTGGATTAAACACCCCAGTATTTACAAAGCTTCCTGTCCTGGATAAATAAAACTTTCTGCATATGGACATTTAAATGATTCTTTTTTTTTTTAATCC